AAAAAAAAAAAAAAAAAAAAAAAGAGAACTACTATTATACTTACCCCTAAATTATTTACATGGGGGGTATCAATAAATTGAGGTCATCAAATCTTGAAAAAGAGAAGCCCCCAAAAAAAATAAAATATTGTCTAATCATTTCATTGTTTGCTTTAGAATCTCAACACTCTTGTGTGCTCATCATGCAACCCCCAATCCCATCTCAACAAAACATAATAAATATCTTTAGAGCTTTACATGGGCAATAAGATGATGAGCCTTTAAAGAATGGCCACTCAAAGACTCCATTGCTTTAACTCTCACCCAACTGCACTATTTTCTCTCTCTCTCTCTCTCATCAACTCCACAGTATAAATACAAGTGAGCCTTTGCCTTCATTTTCTTGCTTCATTACAACAAATTATAATATAAAAAAAATTGTGTAGTATTTTTTTATGGAGTGTGTAGCTCTTGTTGGAGAAGCAGGGCACGTGCAAACCATGTGAGCTCCACACGTGCAGTGGCCCCTTATTTGCACGTGCTCCCCTTCTCCAACATGTGTTCCTCACTCAGCCAAGCCTAATTCGACATCACATATGATATGATCAAAGTGTGTGTTTATTTTATTTGAATTTTTTCTTCTTTTTGATTTTCAATTTTTTTTTTTTTAATTTCCATTTTCATGTATATAAAGCTAACTAATGTCTTAAAATTAAATATTTGTAGTTGTTTGGTGGTCCATGCAAATCTAATTAATGTTTGTTTTATTTGATTTTTTTTTTTCATTTAAATAGAGCTAAAATTATAAATATTTATGATAATTACTATATTAGGTTTATTATAATAATTTATTATAGAGGGGGGACCCCCCACCAATTCTAATGTCTTAATAAATCAGATATTTGGACTTGTTTGGGGGTCCATGCCAATCTAATAAATGTGTGTTTATTTGATTTGATTTTTTTTTTTTCAAATTTTTCTTGTTTTTATTTTTTATTTTTCTTTAAACAGAGCTAAGATTATAAATTTTATGATAATTACTATATTGAGTTTATTCTAACAATTTATTATGGAGGGAGCCCTCCCCCCACCAATTCTAGTATCTTAATAAATTAGATATTTGGACTTGTTTGTTGGTCCATGCAAATCTAATAAATGCCTTACTTGTTTTTTTGATTGTGTGTTGATCGAACAGTTAAAAACCCGGCGATATCATATTTTTTTTTCTTTGGTAACGAATTTAACGAGCATTTTAAAAATCTAGACGAACATCGATAATTTTGGGTCGTAACAAACCCTGTAATAACTAAAAACTTGGTTAACATTCTCAACAGTTGAGTACGTAATAGTTACTATTTATTAGTGATATATTATGTAAATTTAAATCGAATTAATTGGTTTATTTCTTAGATGTAAATATTATTTTGTATTATTTTTGTGGTTGTTATAAATCGGACTAATCTGAAGTTTTGACAATACTGCCATAAGATGTAATTGTTCCGAAAACTCGTGCCTATTGGTGAGGGCACTAAGTCAATTTGTAAGCATTTTCACATGATAATACGAAATTTATGAAGTAATTAATAACCCACATAATATCTAAAAATTGCAAACTTTAGAATCACGAATAGGTTGGACAGAAATAATTATTTGTAATATATAACTCATATAGAAAATTTGAATATAACATTTAATTTTAAGCTAATTAAAAAGGGTTGGAACATGTTGATCAAATATATATCGAATGACAACATGTCAATATAGTTTTTACAAACTACTTTAAGAAGCATATCTAATCAAACAATTAATGAAGATTATCAACTTAATTAACAACTTAATTAACATCAAATATAATCTCGAGGTGAATATTATATCTCCCATAATAGATCGATTAGTTGTGTATTGAAATTGATTGCACGAGGTCGATTGAATTTGATAAAATAGTTCGTTAAGTTATGAGCGCTATTTGGTTGTAGCACGAGTTATATACCGTATA